TCAATTTCGACCCCAGCCTCCGAAATAACGTGCCCCAAAAACTCTAGCCGGTCCTGAAAAAAACTCGCACTCGGAACCCTTTGTCAGGAGCTGATGCTCGTCTAAAATCTTAAACACAAGTTGGCTGTGCCCCCGGTTCTAATTCTATTCGGTGGTCATGTGCTCGATGTGGTGGCAGTCCTTCCGGTAAGTCGTCGGGAAAAATCCCGGGGTATCATTTCAACAGTTCCTGTAGTTCGGGCGGTACTGCTGCCAGCAGTTTCTTGAAATCACTCGGCTGCTCTACTCCCTCTGTGAGAATCCCAACCACTAGACCATTGGGATAAAATGGCTTTTTAAGTAGCGGGTCAGTGCGCCCATAACCCCCCAGGCCAACATGCCTGTAACCCTTCCCTAGGATCAATCGGGGATGACCAGTGGACCTCTGACACCCCCCACCACTGAAATGTCTACTGCGTACACATCAGCTCCAGTAGCGACAGCCCGTTTCATGGTGACGGCGTTGACGTGTACCGTTGAAGACTCGGGCGACTGCCATCGAGGTAGCTCAACCCAGTGAACGCTACTTCGCACAGTCCAGCTACCTGTCGTCCAGTCAATTTGCGGGTTATACTGTCGCAGCCAATCACGTCCCAGCGAAATGTCGTGCCCATAGAGTGTCGTCGCGAGCATTTCCTGTGTAAATCCGAAATTCCCCCCGCAGCGGACTTTGACTCTCTCCACCTTTTCCCGTATAGCCAGTGGCGTGCCGTCAACTAAGCGTGCATCTATCTCTGGTAAACAACGGCTAAGTGCCAGTTGCAGTTTGTGTCCGGTTGCGATATTAGCTTAACTGTGACTTGCTCCTCCGTCGATAAAAATCTTCACTTTTGCTCCCTGTATTTTCTCGTGGATCAGTACTGGGCAATCCGTCGCTGTACCCTCCTTATTCGTCCGAGCCCGATCGATAGCATGAATCGGTACTGTGACTCGGTGAGGGTCGGTGGGGTTGGGCGAGCAGGCAGTCTCGTCAGTAGTTGGCCCGATTCCTACAAACTGCTGGCGTTTCCCTGCCTTGGAGACTCCCTCCCGTGCTCTGCTCCGCGGTGCCTGAGCTTCTCTGGGCATTCACTCTTGCGATGGCCCGGCCTATTGCAAGCAAAGCAGCGCCCCTTAAACGGCGCAGCAGCTGCATTCGTCGCAACGGCATGTACGGTGGCATGCTCGATCGGTCCCCGAGGACGATGTCCGTAGTAGGACCCCGGTCTCAGACGGCGCAAAATGTCGATTTTCTCGGCGACCGCGAGAATCTCGTTGAAGTCCGAGAGCCCGCGTAGCATGATCTCGTGCGAGATGTCCGGCTTCAGCCCTCCGACGTAACGGTGCACCCGCTCCGCTTCGTGCATGTAACCGACTTGCTCGCATAATGCAAGAAAACCACTCGTGTCGTCTTGAACCGACCAGAGCTGCCGCCAAGTACGCAGTCTGTGACGCGCCGAAATAGAAGCCGCGATCGGCTCGAAGTGCGCCCGAAGCCCTGCGCACCACGCATCCCACGTGCTGTATTGGGCGGTTTCGCATAATGAACTCCAAGTGACAGCTGGACCCGTGGGCCCTTCCTCTTGCGACGGTGGCTCGTAGGCGCGTGGCGAAGTCATGATGACTCGCCACCAGTCCATGGCGGGGCCCCTCAGCAGCGAGACGTCATATCGGATCTTCGCTGCGTCCGACTCGACGTAATTCGCGTTGAAGAAGACGTTCATCGTGAAGACCCACGATTGAGCCGTCGGACCTCCACGCTGGCTCGGGTCGAAGCAGGGCGGGCGTTGCGGCTTAAGTGGTATTGGTGCCATAATGGCCTGTTCGCCACTTGTCGCCGCGAACTCCACATGCCGACGGGCTTCACGAGGCTCCCGCGGGCTTGGTGCAACCCTGTTTCCCCCCATGCCAGGCATCGGTTGAGCGGCGCCATCACTGGCTGCACCTGAGCGCTGTCCCACGCTATCGTGTTGTGTTGGTGTGCCGGACGAAATGACGATCGGCTAGTCCGATTATGCAGATGCATTTGTCGGTGCGTGTGGTGGCGCTGGAGTACTCACCGTGGATTGCTGACGCGCGGAGTCACGTTCCGCCGTGAGCGTCGCAATTTCGAGCGCCGATTCTTCAACTTGGCGCACCAGACGGTCAAGTTGCTCCTGCGTCAACGTCACGAGCGTGAATTCGACAATGATGGGGGTGTCGGGCAAGCTCAGCCAGAGCCTCTGTCGTGGCCGTGCGTGCTTACAAGAGATCACTACGAGCGGCGGTCCTGTGTCGCTGAGAGACGTCTACCCCCCCAAAAAATTGAGATAGTGAGGAAGCAAAGGTGTGGGTGCGGTCCGAGAAGAGATTGTAGGCTCTGAATACCAAGTGTTACGAGTGCAATTGAATGAGCGAGCGAGAATTGCACTATCGAAGCAAAAGTACAATGAGTGAAGGCATGAGCGGAGAATATATAGCGAAACTACAGTGGTAACGGTAATGAACTGTGGTTGTCGCGTGACGGGCTTGGGACAGAGGTTTGGGGAAATGTCGAAGCGGAGGCCCGGAGCGCGGGTTACCCGCCGAGCCGTGAGGTCGGGGTGCGACGTGCGAAGGTGGCGGGAGGATTGTCGATGCGAGAGTTGCGAGTGGTAACGGTGCTGACTGTGGTGGTACAGTGGTGTACGCGCTGAACGGGGGCGCGAAGTAAGGAAAAGGGATTTTCCTTACAGTGAATGATATTACACGATAACAGTGCATACAGTCTCAGTCGTAACTGAACACACATTCTCCATGGTGATGCTCTTCCCACCACAATGTGACGCGGATTTCCTTCGGTCGCACTGTAGGCGGCGCGGTGTGTGTCTGATACTGATTTGATGGAGTGCCCTTTGTGCGCCGATTGCCAACCATCGCGTGACGTGAACAGCGAATCTTTGAGGCCACGGCCCACGACAGGAACCGCTGACAGGCCCACCACGAGCTCCCAGGTTTGTGGGCATCATCCTCAGCCCCAACCGTCCAGCTCAGCATGGTGTGTTCCGGCCAGGCCTGTCGCTTGCAGGGCGTTTGCCCTGCTGGACCTTGAATTCCAGGGCTGGGTTGCCCTTGAAAACTGAAATTGATGGGTTGAGAAAATTGTGGCCCTGATTCATTACAGGGCTGATTTCGGGCTTTGGTCTGGAGTGTGAAGGGTAGATTTTAGGCGAGCCCTGGAACAAAGTCTTTCGAACTTCCCCTCCCACTCCTCCCCCCCCCTCCCCCCCCAAACTCCTCCATTCCCCCTCCCCCCGTTTCTATTTTGATTGCATTCAAGCCTGTCAAATTTGGAGTTGCGTGGCTGGACCACAGATTCAACTCAACCAACAACTGGTACTTGTACCAATTACAACCTCGCTCCCATCCCATGACACACAGACAGTAGCATGAATCAACATGCAGCAGCAAAACACATCTCAGATCCCCGTCATGTTGTGCACCCTCAGGCCTGAATGGGCATAGCAAGCAGCAAAACACATCTCAGATCTTTGCTAAGAGTTGGAAGAGGAGGAAGTCTGTTACGCGTGCGTAGTGAATGACGCTAACTAGTTTTTTTATTGCTAACTAGCTAATTTGATACTAGCGGAGTGCAGCTGTCAGCTTTGTGGTAGAACTGAGGCTGCAGAATTTTCCGTGGCAAACCTGATTTACAGGGAGGAATAAATTTCAGCCCTGAAGCCTAAAGGGCCGAGATTCGCCCCGACCCTGCTAAATACAGGGTCGTACATGCCGGGCCCCCTGATTTGTCCGGGGGGGCCAAAACGAAACGACAGCCCTGGTTCCGGCCCCTGATGTGCGCAGCGCACCCCCAACACCGATAAACCTCGAGGTGGGTGTGGACGTACCCATATGAGCTTCGGTAGTTTTCAGATCGTTTCGGTTCGGTTGCCAATCGTTGGCTCGGCTGTGGCCTTTTTTGTAAGAAATCAAACCTTCTTCCTGAAATCTGCCCTGTTAGTTTCGCACACGCCCTTCCCAATCACGCCAGAGGTGGTTTGTGTGGGAGAACGTCTGCATTGCGCTTGGGCTTGGGTGCGAGATGTACAGTCGGTGCCCATTTCAAAACACCAGGTAGGCGGGCGGCATGTGCGTGAAACGTGTTTGGTCGTTTCGTCACCTTCGCCCTTGTCGCCACGGGTAAAAATGTGACAGTAGTAAGAAATTGCAACGTGAATCGAGTCAAGGGTTTTAATTTAGTAACCAGGTTAACTTCTCTGATGACGGGCAACCGCTGCTGTTTATGTACTGTAGATGTTTTTCTTCCTCAACTTGGTGACTGTACCCCGAAATCGGCACAATGGTCAATTTAGTCACTCACGGGCAAAACGTTCGCGAGTGACTAAATTTCTAATTGTGGAGAGCAAATGTTTTGTGATAGGCTGAGCATCGACTGTAACACTTTTGCTCTGGCCGAGTTGAGTCAAGACGAAATGAGAGCTATGGAACTGATCTTGTCCATCTCCTTCCTCCCCCACCCCACGACGTGGGTGCCACGCAGAGTTGCTTGATTCACTGCAACCCACTGACAGACACACGATTTTATCGCTAAGTCTCCCTTTACAAGCCACGATTAGCATACTTTCCCTTCATAATCCTCCACTAAGTGTCATCACGAGCGGTCTCGACAATCCTCGTTGAAGTCCTCTCGAGTGTGCCTCCTACTATTAAAGCGTGTGTCCAGTGGAGAAAGGCGATAATTTATTCGTAGTACGTATCAATTGCACGGCAAAGAACCGTAGTATTCACTCAAGTCGACGCGGCAGAGGTCTTAGGTTAGAATCTCTCTGGCTCCAAGTGACTCCAACCTCGAAGTAGCTAAGGCCCTTAGCGGGGCTGGTGCTACTACGAGAAATAAGCATTCATAAGTACTCGTATTGCTATTTATTGGTCGACCGACACGGTCCTTCATTTCCGAAGCCACTTCAGGCTGGTCTCTTAAGTAGTGCGACGCGCACGCGTCCATGGCCGACCGGCTTTCCCCTCCGCCACGTGCCGCGCAATCTAAGCCGGCCCGCGCGCGTCGCAGCGGCTCGTGGCACGCGTTCCTCTCGCTCTCTGAGACGTCTCAAAAGTCGTTCCTCTCGCCCAATGGCGCAGACGGTCAAGCCTCACCCGCGGTCGCCGCGGCTGCCATCCCTGCTGCAATTCCCGCCGCAATTCCCGCCACCGCGACCGCCGCGCCCGTCGCCGGTTCGTCGCAAGCAGAAAGCGCGGACGGCGGCGCAAGACCCGCCGCAGAGCGCGGTCGCGAGGCCTCCCCGTTGCTTCCGCCCTCTCTCAGCGATAGAGCCCAGTCCCCGCATCCGCTTACCTCCAGATCTCCGCTTAGAAACGCCGCCGCCAACGCTCGCGCGTGGTGCGCGCGACGGTACCGCGGAATCCTTCCGCCTGCGGGGGAAACCGCGACAACGCCGCGGAACGCATTAGCCCGCGTGGCAGGGGCGGGGGGGATCACAGGGGCAGGCGGAGCTGCGCCCTCGAGCGGCGGGGAGGGTAGCGCCGGCGGAAGCGACGACCGCCTCGCTGGGGCAAGGGGGAACTGGAGCAGGCAGGGGGCCAATGCGGCGTCCGTTGGACTCGCGAAAAAATCCGACTCGAGTCAACCAAGTCAACCAGGTCAAACGGGTTATCCTGTTCAACGGGGTCAACCGAGTCAACGAGTCCAGGTCTCCCCGCGCCCGTCCGCGTGCCCGTCGGAGCGGTCGAGTGCGTGGGGGCCAGGCGGAAGCAGCAGCACGAGTGATTATAGCGAGGGGACTGACGACGAGGATGCGATGTGGGAGGATAGCGACTGGATGTCCGCGGAGGAAGGGGAAGGGAGAGAAAACGGCGGTAAGTGGTGGTCCTTCAAGGGATGGGCGACGAAAAGACGCGGAGATGCGAATTTTGAGGGTAATTACCCCTCCTGGGCTGGTTGGGGCGGGAGAAGTTCTTGGGGAAGCCGAGGACGGGCAGGGGGAGGGGTGAGGGGGGAGGCTGGCGGCGCGGAGATCCCAAGGGGGGAAGTTGAGGTGATGGTGAGGGGAACAGCGTGTGACAGAAACTGGGGTGCTTTTACGAAAACAGGGAATTTTCAGGACAAGAAACGACAGAAGCACGGATCGTTTGGCAGGAAGGGCAGAGGGGGGGGAAGGAGGAGGAGAAACGCAGAGGATGAGGAGGACGAATGGAGGAATCGAGGATGGCTGTGGAAGCTTCTGAGCAAGTGCAGCGTGGAGAAATGCCTCGAGCTGACCCACTTGGCGCGCTTCCTGTGTCTGCTGATGTGGGCGGCTGTGACCCTGGCGGTGGCGTTTGTCGTTTTCTGGGTGTTGTATCAGAACTTCCAGGCGGCGCGGCTGGCGGAGGTGCAGCAGGAGTGCGACAAGTGGACGACGCTGCTGGAGAGCCACTTCCGTCAATCCGCTGATCAGGTGAGTGGTGGGGAGGGGTTGGGGGTTGAAAGGGATGAGGTGAGGGAAGCGACGGGCGAACGCGATTGGTCAATTATCTCACAGGACGAGTCTGGCAGAAGTGGAGCAGGAGTGTGACAAGTGGACGACGCTGCTGGAGAGCCATTTCCATCCCATTCATTTCCATCCCATTCATTTCCATCCCATTCATTTCCATCCCATTCATTTCCATCCCATCCCATCCCATCCCATCCCATCCCATCCCATCCCATCCCGTCCCATCGCATCCCATCCCATCCCACCGCACTGAACACCACATCACCCAATCAGGTGCGGCTATTGGGAGCGGTCGTCTCAACCTTCTACTTCCAAAAGCCAAACGCCACTCTCGATCAGGTCAGCCGCCCGCCAGGTCAGCAGCCCGCCAGGTCAGCAGCCCGCCAGGTCAGCCGCCCGCCAGGTCAGCCACCCACCAGGGCTGCCGTTCGCCAGGTCATCCGCTCGCCAGGTTAGCCGCTCTGCTTTGCTCGCTGGTGGCTGAATCGCCTATCTTGCGCTCATCATTCCCTCCTTGCCCCTTGCCCTTCCCCTTCCCCACTCCACCTTCCATGTTTCTCCTTACCCGTTTCCTCTTTCCCCCACCTTCCCCCACAACCCCCCAAACCCCCTCCATCCAATTAGCCCACCTACTGCTTGCAGGTGAATAAGACAGACTGTGCCCGCCCGCTGCTGTTAATAACCCATCGTCCTTCCCTTCTCAACCTTCCTACTTCATTCCACCCCTTCCTCCCCGCACCCCTCCTCCCCCCCCCCCCCCCATCTCTTCCATTCAACCAGCCCACCTTCTCGTCCCTCGTGAATGCGACGGACTACGCCCGCCCGCTGCTGTTTGCCGCCTCCTTTTCCCGGCGGGTGACTCAGGCTGAGCGGCCGGCGTTTGAGAAACAGCAGCAGCAGCAGCTGGGGGACCCTGGGTATTGCATCAGGTATGTGCGGTTGTTGAGTTGAGATGTCGTGACAAAGCAGCAGGTACGCTTTTCCAGATGTCTCAGAAAAGCAGCAGCGTTAACTGGGGGTCCCGGATACTTCTGCATCAGGTACGTTGGCTGCAAAACACAGTTGATTGCATCAGTTAAACCCGAAACCCAAAACACATCATATCGAGTGTAAAACACATTTTTTTTTTTAGAGTGAAACACAATGTGTCGACAGTGAAACACCCCTGAACCATCCCCCATCCTCCCTCCCCCTGCCCAAGCCTACTTAAGTGCACACATGCCTGCCGTGTCCGCCCATCCCCCATCCCCCATCCCCCATCCCCCATCCCCCATCCCCCATCCCCCATCCCCCATCCCCCCCACCCACCTCCTCTAATCACAGGCACGGCAGCATGTGTGCGGGCAGCCAGGCCGAGCACGCCCCCATCGTGCTCACCAGCGCATCGGCCTCCATGATTGGCCAGGGCCTCCTGGCCCCCTCCTCCCATCCTGACCACCCGTTGACCGGCGTTGACTCGGTTGACCTGCCTGAAGACCAGCTGGCGTTGCAGGAGTTTCTGGCGTGGGGTGAGTGTGGGGTGGGTGTGGAGTGAGTGGGGAGTGAGTGGGGAGTGAGTGTGGGGTGAGTGTGGGGTGAGTGTGGGGTGAGTGTGGGGTGAGTGGGGAGTGACTGTGGAGTGAGTGTGGAGTGAGTGTGGGGTGAGTGTGGAGTGAGTGGGGAGTGAGTGGGGAGTGAGTGGGGAGTGAGTGGGGAGTGAGTGGGGAGTGAGTAGGGAGTGAGTGTGGGGTGAGTGTGGGGTGAGTGTGGGGTGAGTGTGGGGTGTGTGTGGAGTGAGTGGGGAGTGAGTGCTATGAGTATGAATCATCATGTGTTCTTCCTCCCCTATCATGTCTTTCCTCTCTCCCCCTTTCTCTTCTTCCCTTCTTTTCTCCATTCTCTCTCCACACCCCTCCCCCACTTCCCTCCGCTGTTCCTTCCCTCCATTACCCCCCCATTCCCTCCTCCTATCCCTCCCCCATTCTCCCCACTCCCCCAACCAACCCCTTCCCCCCGTCCAGCCAACCGCCCAGCAACAATAGAGGCGGTGACGCGAGCGCGGGACTATGGAGTAATGGGGGCACTCACGCCCCCGTTCCCCCTCAACCTCTCTCTCTCCACTAAGAGGCCCATTTCGCGCGGCCTCTTTATAGTCTTCCCCGTTTACCGCACGCCCGACCCGCTGCCGGACGGTTTGTCTTCTAGCGAGTACCAGGCGGCGTGCCTCGGCTACATGACGGCGATCATTGACTTTGAGCCGATGTGGGATGCGATGCTGGAGGTGAGCGGTGCTGCGGGGTGCTGAGTGGTGGATGGGGGGTGCTGCTGGGTGGTGGGGGGTGGTTGGAGGTGGGAAGTGGAGGGGGGGGGGGGTGGGGGGGGTGGGGGGGGTGCAGTCTGCAACACGGGTGTGCCTTTTGAGGCGCCTCAAAACACGGGTGTGCCTTTTGAGGCGCCTCAAAACACGGGTGTGCCTTTTGAGGCGCCTCAAAACACGGGTGTGCCTTTTGAGGCGCCTCAAAACACGGGTGTGCCTTTTGAGGCGCCTCAAAACACGGGTGTGCCTTTTGAGGCGCCTCAAAACACGGGCGTGCCTTTTGAGGCGCCTCAAAACATGGGCGTGCCTTTTGAGGCGCCTCAAAACACGGGCGTGCCTTTTGAGGCGCCTCAAAACACGGGTGTGCCTTTTGAGGCGCCTCAAAACACGGGCGTGCCTTTTGAGGCGCCTCAAAACACGGGTGTGCCTTTTGAGGCGCCTCAAAACACGGGTGTGCCTTTTGAGGCGCCTCAAAACACGGGTGTGCCTTTTGAGGCGCCTCAAAACACGGGTGTGCCTTTTGAGGCGCCTCAAAACACGGGTGTGCCTTTTGAGGCGCCTCAAAACACGGGCGTGCCTTTTGAGGCGCCTCAAAACACGGGTGTGCCTTTTGAGGCGCCTCAAAACACGGGTGTGCCTTTTGAGGCGCCTCAAAACACGGGTGTGCCTTTTGAGGCGCCTCAAAACACGGGTGTGCCTTTTGAGGCGCCTCAAAACACGGGTGTGCCTTTTGAGGCGCCTCAAAACACGGGCGTGCCTTTTGAGGCGCCTCAAAACACGGGCGTGCCTTTTGAGGCGCCTCAAAACACGGGTGTGCCTTTTGAGGCGCCTCAAAACACGGGTGTGCCTTTTGAGGCGCCTCAAAACACGGGTGTGCCTTTTGAGGCGCCTCAAAACACGGGTGTGCCTTTTGAGGCGCCTCAAAACACGGGCGTGCCTTTTGAGGCGCCTCAAAACACGGGCGTGCCTTTTGAGGCGCCTCAAAACACGGGTGTGCCTTTTGAGGCGCCTCAAAACACGGGCGTGCCTTTTGAGGCGCCTCAAAACACGGGCGTGCCTTTTGAGGCGCCTCAAAACACGGGCGTGCCTTTTGAGGCGCCTCAAAACACGGGCGTGCCTTTTGAGGCGCCTCAAAACACGGGCGTGCCTTTTGAGGCGCCTCAAAACACGGGCGTGCCTTTTGAGGCGCCTCAAAACACGGGCGTGCCTTTTGAGGCGCCTCAAAACACGGGCGTGCCTTTTGAGGCGCCTCAAAACACGGGCGTGCCTTTTGAGGCGCCTCAAAACACGGGCGTGCCTTTTGAGGCGCCTCAAAACATGGGCGTGCCTTTTGAGGCGCCTCAAAACACGGGCGTGCCTTTTGAGGCGCCTCAAAACACGGGTGTGCCTTTTGAGGCGCCTCAAAACACGGGCGTGCCTTTTGAGGCGCCTCAAAACACGGGTGTGCCTTTTGAGGCGCCTCAAAACGCGGGTGTGCCTTTTGAGGCGCCTCAAAACACGGGTGTGCCTTTTGAGGCGCCTCAAAACACGGGTGTGCCTTTTGAGGCGCCTCAAAACACGGGTGTGCCTTTTGAGGCGCCTCAAAACACGGGTGTGCCTTTTGAGGCGCCTCAAAACACGGGTGTGCCTTTTGAGGCGCCTCAAAACACGGGTGTGCCTTTTGAGGCGCCTCAAAACACGGGTGTGCCTTTTGAGGCGCCTCAAAACACGGGTGTGCCTTTTGAGGCGCCTCAAAACACGGGCGTGCCTTTTGAGGCGCCTCAAAACATGGGCGTGCCTTTTGAGGCGCCTCAAAACACGGGCGTGCCTTTTGAGGCGCCTCAAAACACGGGTGTGCCTTTTGAGGCGCCTCAAAACACGGGCGTGCCTTTTGAGGCGCCTCAAAACACGGGTGTGCCTTTTGAGGCCTTTTGAGGCGCCTCAAAACACGGGTGTGCCTTTTGAGGCGCCTCAAAACACGGGTGTGCCTTTTGAGGCGCCTCAAAACACGGGTGTGCCTTTTGAGGCGCCTCAAAACACGGGTGTGCCTTTTGAGGCGCCTCAAAACACGGGCGTGCCTTTTGAGGCGCCTCAAAACACGGGTGTGCCTTTTGAGGCGCCTCAAAACACGGGTGTGCCTTTTGAGGCGCCTCAAAACACGGGTGTGCCTTTTGAGGCGCCTCAAAACACGGGTGTGCCTTTTGAGGCGCCTCAAAACACGGGTGTGCCTTTTGAGGCGCCTCAAAACACGGGCGTGCCTTTTGAGGCGCCTCAAAACACGGGCGTGCCTTTTGAGGCGCCTCAAAACACGGGTGTGCCTTTTGAGGCGCCTCAAAACACGGGTGTGCCTTTTGAGGCGCCTCAAAACACGGGTGTGCCTTTTGAGGCGCCTCAAAACACGGGTGTGCCTTTTGAGGCGCCTCAAAACACGGGCGTGCCTTTTGAGGCGCCTCAAAACACGGGCGTGCCTTTTGAGGCGCCTCAAAACACGGGTGTGCCTTTTGAGGCGCCTCAAAACACGGGCGTGCCTTTTGAGGCGCCTCAAAACACGGGCGTGCCTTTTGAGGCGCCTCAAAACACGGGCGTGCCTTTTGAGGCGCCTCAAAACACGGGCGTGCCTTTGAGGCGCCTCAAAACACGGGCGTGCCTTTTGAGGCGCCTCAAAACACGGGCGTGCCTTTTGAGGCGCCTCAAAACACGGGCGTGCCTTTTGAGGCGCCTCAAAACACGGGCGTGCCTTTTGAGGCGCCTCAAAAACACGGGCGTGCCTTTTGAGGCGCCTCAAAACACGGGCGTGCCTTTTGAGGCGCCTCAAAACATGGGCGTGCCTTTTGAGGCGCCTCAAAACACGGGCGTGCCTTTTGAGGCGCCTCAAAACACGGGTGTGCCTTTTGAGGCGCCTCAAAACACGGGCGTGCCTTTTGAGGCGCCTCAAAACACGGGTGTGCCTTTTGAGGCGCCTCAAAACGCGGGTGTGCCTTTTGAGGCGCCTCAAAACACGGGTGTGCCTTTTGAGGCGCCTCAAAACACGGGTGTGCCTTTTGAGGCGCCTCAAAACACGGGTGTGCCTTTTGAGGCGCCTCAAAACACGGGTGTGCCTTTTGAGGCGCCTCAAAACACGGGTGTGCCTTTTGAGGCGCCTCAAAACACGGGCGTGCCTTTTGAGGCGCCTCAAAACATGGGCGTGCCTTTTGAGGCGCCTCAAAACACGGGCGTGCCTTTTGAGGCGCCTCAAAACACGGGTGTGCCTTTTGAGGCGCCTCAAAACACGGGCGTGCCTTTTGAGGCGCCTCAAAACACGGGTGTGCCTTTTGAGGCGCCTCAAAACACGGGTGTGCCTTTTGAGGCGCCTCAAAACACGGGTGTGCCTTTTGAGGCGCCTCAAAACACGGGCGTGCCTTTTGAGGCGCCTCAAAACACGGGCGTGCCTTTTGAGGCGCCTCAAAACACGGGTGTGCCTTTTGAGGCGCCTCAAAACACGGGTGTGCCTTTTGAGGCGCCTCAAAACACGGGCGTGCCTTTTGAGGCGCCTCAAAACACGGGTGTGCCTTTTGAGGCGCCTCAAAACACGGGTGTGCCTTTTGAGGCGCCTCAAAACACGGGTGTGCCTTTTGAGGCGCGTCAAAACACGGGTGTGCCTTTTGAGGCGCCTCAAAACACGGGTGTGCCTTTTGAGGCGCCTCAAAACACGGGTGTGCCTTTTGAGGCGCCTCAAAACACGGGTGTGCCTTTTGAGGCGCCTCAAAACACGGGTGTGCCTTTTGAGGCGCCTCAAAACACGGGTGTGCCTTTTGAGGCGCCTCAAAACACGGGTGTGCCTTTTGAGGCGCCTCAAAACACGGGTGTGCCTTTTGAGGCGCCTCAAAACACGGGCGTGCCTTTTGAGGCGCCTCAAAACATGGGCGTGCCTTTTGAGGCGCCTCAAAACACGGGCGTGCCTTTTGAGGCGCCTCAAAACACGGGTGTGCCTTTTGAGGCGCCTCAAAACACGGGCGTGCCTTTTGAGGCGCCTCAAAACACGGGTGTGCCTTTTGAGGCGCCTCAAAACACGGGTGTGCCTTTTGAGGCGCCTCAAAACACGGGCGTGCCTTTTGAGGCGCCTCAAAACACGGGTGTGCCTTTTGAGGCGCCTCAAAACACGGGTGTGCCTTTTGAGGCGCCTCAAAACACGGGCGTGCCTTTTGAGGCGCCTCAAAACACGGGTGTGCCTTTTGAGGCGCCTCAAAACACGGGTGTGCCTTTTGAGGCGCCTCAAAACACGGGTGTGCCTTTTGAGGCGCCTCAAAACACGGGTGTGCCTTTTGAGGCGCCTCAAAACACGGGTGTGCCTTTTGAGGCGCCTCAAAACACGGGCGTGCCTTTTGAGGCGCCTCAAAACACGGGCGTGCCTTTTGAGGCGCCTCAAAACACGGGTGTGCCTTTTGAGGCGCCTCAAAACACGGGTGTGCCTTTTGAGGCGCCTCAAAACACGGGTGTGCCTTTTGAGGCGCCTCAAAACACGGGTGTGCCTTTTGAGGCGCCTCAAAACACGGGCGTGCCTTTTGAGGCGCCTCAAAACACGGGCGTGCCTTTTGAGGCGCCTCAAAACACGGGTGTGCCTTTTGAGGCGCCTCAAAACACGGGCGTGCCTTTTGAGGCGCCTCAAAACACGGGCGTGCCTTTTGAGGCGCCTCAAAACACGGGCGTGCCTTTTGAGGCGCCTCAAAACACGGGCGTGCCTTTTGAGGCGCCTCAAAACACGGGCGTGCCTTTTGAGGCGCCTCAAAACACGGGCGTGCCTTTTGAGGCGCCTCAAAACACGGGCGTGCCTTTTGAGGCGCCTCAAAACACGGGCGTGCCTTTTGAGGCGCCTCAAAACACGGGCGTGCCTTTTGAGGCGCCTCAAAACACGGGCGTGCCTTTTGAGGCGCCTCAAAACATGGGCGTGCCTTTTGAGGCGCCTCAAAACACGGGCGTGCCTTTTGAGGCGCCTCAAAACACGGGCGTGCCTTTTGAGGCGCCTCAAAACACGGGCGTGCCTTTTGAGGCGCCTCAAAACACGGGCGTGCCTTTTGAGGCGCCTCAAAACACGGGTGTGCCTTTTGAGGCGCCTCAAAACGCGGGTGTGCCTTTTGAGGCGCCTCAAAACACGGGTGTGCCTTTTGAGGCGCCTCAAAACACGGGTGTGCCTTTTGAGGCGCCTCAAAACACGGGTGTGCCTTTTGAGGCGCCTCAAAACACGGGTGTGCCTTTTGAGGCGCCTCAAAACACGGGCGTGCCTTTTGAGGCGCCTCAAAACACGGGCGTGCCTTTTGAGGCGCCTCAAAACATGGGCGTGCCTTTTGAGGCGCCTCAAAACACGGGCGTGCCTTTTGAGGCGCCTCAAAACACGGGCGTGCCTTTTGAGGCGCCTCAAAACACGGGCGTGCCTTTTGAGGCGCCTCAAAACACGGGTGTGCCTTTTGAGGCGCCTCAAAACACGGGTGTGCCTTTTGAGGCGCCTCAAAACACGGGTGTGCCTTTTGAGGCGCCTCAAAACACGGGCGTGCCTTTTGAGGCGCCTCAAAACACGGGCGTGCCTTTTGAGGCGCCTCAAAACACGGGTGTGCCTTTTGAGGCGCCTCAAAACACGGGCGTGCCTTTTGAGGCGCCTCAAAACACGGGCGTGCCTTTTGAGGCGCCTCAAAACACGGGTGTGCCTTTTGAGGCGCCTCAAAACACGGGTGTGCCTTTTGAGGCGCGTCAAAACACGGGTGTGCCTTTTGAGGCGCCTCAAAACACGGGTGTGCCTTTTGAGGCGCCTCAAAACACGGGTGTGCCTTTTGAGGCGCCTCAAAACACGGGTGTGCCTTTTGAGGGTGCTTACAGCTGGGAAGTGGAGAATCATGGGATGGGATGCAGGCTGTTTGCCTTGCCTCGGCTACATGGCAAGATTCTTGAGAGTTCTCAAATGCGACTCAATCTGGATGGACTTTTGGGTCAACAGTCGACTACAGGAACCCTCCCACCTCACTCTCCCCACACCCTCCCACCTCACTCTCCCCACACCCTCCCACGCTTGCTTGCTCTTTCCCCAACCACCCACACCCCAGGAATGCCAGGGCTTGGCCCTGCCCATGTTTGCACGCAGTTATGGTGTCACCGGGAGCACACATTTACGCCGTCATTTGCACCCACCCACTCATTCTGCTTCCCCATTCACTCCCACCCCAGGAATTCCACGGCTTAGCCCTGCCAATGTTTGCTTTTGGGTCAACTCAGGAACCTTACTCTCCCCACACCCTTCCACGCTTGCTTGCTCTTTCCCCAACCACCCACACCCCAGGAATACCATGGCTTGGCCCTGCCCATGTTTGCACGAATTTACGACGTCACTGGGAGCAGCGGGGAGAAGGGGAAGCGTGCGGGGGAGATTATTTACGAGCCTAGAGGACGAGAGTTGCCGCCCGGACAGGAGGACTCGTATGCGCATGTGAACGTGGTGAATCTGGGGGACAAGTACCGCGAGTACGAGATGCGGTGCAGGTGGGTGGGGTGCGGTGGAGGTGGGTGCATAAAAAACTTGGGTCATCAAAATCCTTTCTCGTTCTTCCATCCCCGTTTTCTCCCTCCCATCCCCCTTACTCCCCCTCTCTCATCCCTCACCCCTCCTCACTCCCGTTCAACCCCCTTCTCGCGACCCCCCTCTATCCCATCTCCCCCCCCCCCCCACAGGTACAACACAACGTATGTATTCCCGGCAGCGAGTGCAGGGTGGGCTATCCTCGTTATAGTGGTGATGGGTCTCAACCCCCCTCAACCCCTCTCAACACTCCCCCCACAGGTACAACACAACGTACGTATTCCCAGCAGCAAGTGCAGGGTGGGCTATCCTCGTTATAGTGGTGATGTGATGAGCCTCACCCCCCCCCCCCCCCCCCCCCCCCCCCCCCCCCTTTTTCCTTTCCACAGGTACAACACAACCTATGAGTTCCCAGCCGCAAGTGCAGGGTGGGCTATACTCGTTATAGTGGTGATGGGCCTCGCTGCATATGTGTACTGGGCGGCGTGTGAGCGCGTGCAGCAGTTGGAGAGGGATTACCAGCGGTTGGAAGCGGTGAAGAACCGCATGAAAGCGGCCAAGAGGGTTGCGGAGCGGGCGAGTAAGGCCAAGGGCTTGTTCCTTACCACGATGAGCCACGAGCTACGCACGCCACTGAATGGTGTCATAGGTGGGTGCTGTGCGGTGCTGGTGATAGTGGTTTCCGAATAGAGGGTGGTGGATAGGTCGATTCAATCAAGCCAAGGGGCTGTTTCTTACAAGGATGAGCCATAAGCTCCGCACGCCGCTCAATGGAGTTTTAGGTGGGTGCTGTGTGGTGTTGTGTGGTGCTGGTGATAGTGGTCTCCGCTTCGAGGGTGGTGGAAAGGCCGAGTCAAGCGAAGGGCGCGTTCTCACTGCTATGAGTTACGAGCTGCGCACGCCGCTCGCGGCCGTCATAGGTGGGTGCTATGTGGTGCTCTGCGGTGCTGGTGATTTCCGCCAAGCCTAGAAGGCGGTGGAGAAGGCGAGTTAAGCCAAGGGATTGTTTCTCACCACGATGAGCCATGAGCTATGCACGCCACTGAATGGAGTCATTGGTGGGTGGTGTGCGGTGCTGTGTGGTTGCTGGTGCTGGTGGTATTGTTGTTATTGGTGCTGCTGGTGGTGCTGGTGGTGTTGGCGGTGTTGGTGCTGCTGGTGGTGCTGGTGGTGTTGGCGGTGTTGGTGGTGCTGGTGGTGCTGGTGGTGTTGGCGGTGTTGGCGGTGTTGGTGGTGCTTGTGGTGCTGGTGGTGCTGTTGGTGCTGGTTCTGATGCTGCTGGGGCTGCTGGGCTGGCGGGCCTGTATGTGCCTACATGTGTTCGTGCACGCAAACCCCTCTGCCCTTCCCTCTCCCAACCCAGCCATGCTGAACTGAAACTCCTGCTGGATACCGTATGTTTTTGGAGAATTCTAAAAAAACATGCGCTGAATCTGCTGCTGGATACCCCTCTCACTGTCTCACGTGTCCCTCGTCCCCTCAATTCGTGCTCATGCGCAATGCACCACTGCTCATCCGAGGCAGCCCCACTGCCACCCCACCCCCACCCCCAGGCATGCTGAACCTGCTGCTGGAAACACCGCTCACGGTGACCCAACTCCACCCCCAGCCTCATGCCCATTCGTGCTCCCACCCACCTGGCCCCACCGCACCCCACACCCCCACATTGCACCCGCACAACCCCACACCCCACTCCCAGGCATGCTGAACCTGCTGCTGGAGACAGCTCGCACCAGCGGGCGGGCTCTGCTTGAAGTGCCGGTGCTGGCGCCCCGTATCTCCCATGCACCCCGTATCCCCTGTATCCCCCATATCCCCCGTATCCCCTGTATCCACCATGCACCCCATATCCCCCGTATCCCCCGTATCCCCTATGCACCCATGTGCTCATGCTTGCTCCCCCGGCCCCGCACCTCCAGGCATGCTGAACCTGCTTCTGGAAACACCCCTCACGGTGACCCAACTAGACTATGTGGAGACGGCTCGCACCAGCGGGAGGGCGCTGCTGGAACTCATCACTGACATCCTCGACCTCTCCAAGATTGAAGTGAGCTACTCTGCTACTCACAGAAAGAATATGATGTGCAGAGGTCAACAGCGGGCACACACACACACACACACACACACACACACACACACACACACACACACGCACACGCACACGCACACGCACACGCACACGCACACGCACACGCACACGCACACGCACACACACACACCGAGACCAGCGCACCTTGATGTAGTACAGGTGTGCTGCTCATGTCATGGCAGAGAGAGAGCCTGCACTGCTCTTGTTGCGCTGTGGAGGTGGGCAGAGTAAGGTAGGAGGAGCGGGCACACTCAGATGTGTGCAAACCAGTGGGCCTTGGCTGCTGGAGCGGATCACTGACATGGGAATGCGGAGGCCTCGCTGATGGGAATGCGAGGCAGAACCTCTGCGGAGGCCTCGCTGATGGGCCTCGCTGTTTTTCTGTATTTCTGAACCTCTGCGGGCACCGCAGTGCATGCATCCACGCCCCGCCTTTCACTACCCTTCCCCCTTCGCCGCCCACCCACACACCCACCAAGGCGCAGAGGGTCCCAATGGACGTGCGCGGAGAGGTGGACACGGTTCTCACGATGTTCATCGAGCGCTTCTCTTTCTCCACCCCCCCCCCCCCCCTTTCCTCCTTCCCTCTTTCCTCATTCCCCTCATTCCCCCTCCATTTTTCCTTCCTTACACTACTCTTTCCACCGCACCAGGCGCAGAAGATGCAGTTGGAGCACATACCCATGGACGTGAGGGGAGAGATAAACACCCTCACCATGTTGGCCCTCCCTTCCCTTTCCTTCTTCAAACACCCTGCCTCCCTCCCTCCCCCCATCAGGCGCAGAAGATGCAGTTGGAACACATACCCATGGACGTGCGCGGAGAGGTGGACACGGTGCTCACCATGTTCATCGAGCGCTTCCGAGACAAGCCGCTGCTGCAGGTGGCGGCCTATGTTGACCCGCTCGTGCCGGCATCTGTCCTCGGGGATTCCCTGCGCTTCCGCCAGGTGGGTTGTGGGAATGAGGCACTGGACCCTCTCTGCAAGGTTGTGAGTTCTGAGGTGACTTTTGAGTCGACTCGGAAGTCCCGTGAGGGGCCGTCAGGCGCTTGTGTTCGCACAAACAAAACGCATGTGAGCTGAATGTGGGCACATGTTCATCGCCATCCTCCTTCACTCTCCCTGTGCCCGCCAGGTGCTGATCAATCTGCTGTCCAACGCGTGCAAGTACACCGAACGTGGACACATCTTCATCGCCATCCGCACGGCCGACATTCACGAGGACCTTCGGCGAGACGCTACCCGATCGCAGTCGAAGCGAGGGATTGCCCAGCAGCAGCAGCAGCAGCAGCAGCAGCAGCAAGAACAAGAGCATCAAGAGACGGGGACAGGGCATCTGCAACAACAACGGCAGTGGCAACAAGAACAGGATAAACAGCAGCAGGAGCAGGATAAGCAGCTGGCACTGGCAGCGCCGTCCTCTTGTGAAGATGCCTCCACAACAGTTACCAGCCTGATAGCGTCGCACAGCACGCACCCCTCGTCTGGCTCTGGGCTGCCGAATCTCGGCATATCTGGGGAGTTTGTCGGGCAGCAAGCAGCGGCGGTCGCAACAAGCCACGGGGGGGCGTCACAAGGACAGGCATGGGGGTTTGCCTTTGCTTCAAGAGGTGCTAGCAGGACGTGGAGAAACGGAGTCCCCTGGCTGCGCACACTCTTTCCTGGTTCAGCTTCAAGCAGCGCCGCTATTGGCAGTGGCCGTGATGGCAATGGTGGAAAAGAGAGCGGTGCACATGGTAGTAGTGCAAGTGGCGGTGCTGCTCAAGTGGAGGAGGGAGATATCGAGGCAGCCCGGGGGGGTGGGGGTGAGGCAGCCGGTGCATGTAACCCCGGGTCTGCCATTGCCAGTGCCAGTGCCATGCCCACCATCACCAACACCACCACCACCACCACCACCACCACCACCACCACCACCACTACCAGCACTGTCTCCTTCCGCCCTGCCAGGCTGCTCTCTCGCACTATGAGTGGCAGGACCCGCGCTGCTGCCGCCGCTGCTGCAGTGGAAGGTGGTGGTGATGCCGCTAGCAGTGCTTGGCGGAGCAGCGTGAGCGCTGCGTGCGGGCTGCCCCTGGGTGCATGCGCGGGCGAGCAGCGGCTGCTGGCGTATCAACAGCTAGAAGACGGGCAGGGAGAGCTGGAATACGAGCAGGTGGGGGCCGAAGACGCACTGGTTGAGGCACGGGGGTTGGCAAGGGAGAGAAGGTTGGCGGGGGAGGGGACGCAAGGCGAGGAGCACGAGCTGTTGCAGGTGGTGGTGCATTGTATGAGACCTCCAGTTTCAGACACCAGCCTTGCTGCTGTTGCTGCTGCTGGTGATGTTCGCACAAGCAGTGAAAAGCAGCAGCAGCAGCAAGTGCAGCAAGTGCAGCAAGTGCAGCAAGTGCAGCAAGTGCAGCAGGTGCAGCAGGTGCAGCAAGTGCAGCAAGTGCAGCAAGTGCAGCAAGTGCAGCAAGTGCAGCAGGTGCAGCAGGTGCAGCAAGTGCAGCAAGTGCAGCAGCAGCAGGTGCACGTGACGCTGAGTGGGCGGGCGGCAGTGAGGAGCTGCAACAGCTGGCACGTGCTGGCGGCTAGGCGGGCCGCGTGGCTGCAGCAGGGGCAGCAGGAAGCAGTGCTGCGAGGGGGAGAGGGGTGCGGGAGGGTCAAGCGGGGTGAGGAGGGAGATGGGGATGAGGGGGGAGATGGGGAGGGAGCCAAGGAAGGGTGCGTGGAGGTGGGCTGCGAGTGGGAGAGGCAGCAATTAGTGACAGGAGGAGCAGCAGGAGGAAGTGGGGCAGCAGTGGGAGTGGCAGCAGACGACAGGCCTCAAACCGTTCGATTGGTGGTTTCTGTTGAGGTGGGCGCAGCATGTGTGTTGAGATGCGCGGCAATTTGTACTCGTTCTGCAACAAACACAAGCACGACGCAACACGCACGCACATCCTGCCTCTTCTCATTCCACTGCCCTTTGCCCCCTCTCGTTTCCATACCTCACGCACCTGCTCGCTTCCACCACTACAGGACACCATCTTTAAGCCCTTCACGCACGCAGACGCTAGCACGCGCATGATAACTCTTCCCACTCTCTCCCCCTGTCCTCCCCTGCTTTCCCCCTGTCCTCCCCTGCTTTCCCCCTGTCCTCCCCTGCTTTCCCCCTGTCCTCCCCTGCTTTCCCCCTGTCCTCCCCTGCTTTCCCCCTGTCCTCCCCTGCTTTCCCCCTGTCCTCCCCTGCTTTCCCCCTGTCCTCCCCTGCTTTCCCCCTGTCCTCCCCTGCTTTCCCCCTGTCCTCCCCTGCTTTCCCCCTGTCCTCCCCTGCTTTCCCCCTGTCCTCCCCTGCTTTCCCCCTGTCCTCCCCTGCTTTCCCCCTGTCCTCCCCTGCTTCCCCCCCACACATCCAACCTTCACACCACAGGACACAGGCGAGGGGATCCCCTACGCAGCCCAACGCACCATCCTGAAGCCGTTCACGCAGGCAGACTCGAGCACGACACGCACATGCTTATTCTTCTTACTCTCCTCCCCTGTGCTCTCCTGCCTCTCGACCCTCTATCCGTACCTCTCACTGTTGCCCACCCACCACCACAGGACACAGGCGAGGGGATCCCCTACGCAGCCCAACGCACCATCCTGAAGCCGTTCACGCAGGCAGACCCGAGCACGACACGCACATGCTTATTCTTCTTACTCTCCTCCCCTGTGCTCTCCTGGCTCTCGACCCTCTATCCGTACCTCTCACTGTTGCCCACCCACCACCACAGGACACAGGCGAGGGGATCCCCTACGCAGCCCAACGCACCATCCTGAAGCCGTTCACGCAAGCGGACGCCAGCACGACGCGCACGCACGGCGGCACGGGAATCGGGCTGTCCATCAGCCGCCACCTCGTCGACCTCATGGGGGGGCGCCTCTCCTTCTCCTCACGCCCTGGCCTCGGCAGCACCTTCTATTTTGACCTCCTCCTGCCCTGCGAGCAACCTCGGCCCGAGCCTGTGCCGAACCTCCTGCAACCGGACCTGGTTTCTGCTTCGGGAAAGTGTTCCCGAAGTGGAAATGGGACTGTGGCTGGGGTGGCAGATGCTGTTTCTCCTGCTGGTGCTGCTGATGCGGCTGCTGCTGCTGCCACTGATGTTGGTACCATGGGTCCTCTGCGCGATTCCTTCCTTTCTCCTTTCGGTTTGAAAGACAGGGATGGATTGGCAAGCCTGAGCGAGATCAAGGAAGCTGTGGTTCGGGCCAGGCTCGGCGCAATCCTATTGGACGACCGGCCGGTGAGGCTCGGGGTGCTGGAGAGCCTGCTCAACAGGCTCGGCATGCCGGTGCTCAACTCTACGTTTGGCACCAGCTCTGGTGATGAGGTTCCTCTGTTGCAGCCGGTGGTGGTGTTTGTGGATCATGAATGGCTTGAGCTGCAACAGCAGCAGGAGGAGGAGAGGGATGAGCGGAAGGAGGAAACGGAGGAGAAGGAAGAGGAGGAGGAGGATAAGGGAGAGGAGGAGGATGGGGAGCATACAGAGGAACACGGTCATCCAAGCATGATGACATGGCAAGGGAAGGCATGGCAGGCAATGGTTGCAACAGGGATGGTGAGGACAAGTGCAGGGATGGTTGGGGAAGGAAGAGCGAGAGACAGTCACCCTGGATGCTCTCTTGCCACGCCACCCAGGGCTTGCACAGACACCCTGGGTACCACAGTACCTGCTGCTGCTGCTGCTGCTGCTGCTGCTGCTGCTGCTGCTGCTGGTGCTGGGGAGCATGGGTGTGCGGCTGAAGGAGCAGGTGGGGAGCATGGGTGTGCGGCTGAAGGAGCAGGTGGGGAGCATGGGTGTGCGGCTGAAGGAGCAGGTGGGGAGCATGGGTGTGCGGCTGAAGGAGCAGGTGGGGAGCATGGGTGTGCGGCTGAAGGAGCAGGTGGGGAGCATGGGTGTGCGGTGACAGAGGGGGTGCGTGGGCTGCGTGCAACGATCTCTATGACCGATTGGATGCTCCACTCGCCCTCCCTTGACTCCCTCACTGCTGCTGCCGCTGCTGTCTCTGCTCCTTCTGCTGCCCCTGCCACTGCTGCCACTGCTGCTGCTGCTGCTGCTGCTGCTGCTGCCACTGCTGCTGCTGCTGCGATTGCTGCTTCGGCTGCTTCTGAGGCTGAAGATTCACAAAGTAGGAATGTTGTCTGCAACTGCAGCAGCGGCAGCTACAGCTGCAACCGATGCCGAAACAACCATTTATACAGTAATTTAAACAGAAATAGCTACAGTGGCCGCACCCCTCCCTGGATTGCTGCAGTGCTTGTGTCGTCGCACCACGACACAGCCTTTGCCGAGGCTGCCAACGAGGCTGGGTTCCGAGCCTGCCTTTCCAAGCCTGTCCGCATGAGCGCCCTTGCCAGCTGTCTGTTGGAGATTCTCATGGGGGGAACGGGGCAGGGGGAGGGGGAGGGGGAGGGGGAGGGGGAGGGGGAGGGTGAAGGGGAGGGGGAGGGGGAAGGGGGGGAGGAAGCGGAAGGGGATGGGGAGGAGCGGGAGGGGGAAGTGGAGTTGGGGGAGGGAAGAAGCAGGGAACGGGAGTGGGATGGGAGAGAGGAGGGGAGAGGGGCATGGGTCAGGGAGGAGAGGGGAGGTGCTGAGGGAGTGTGTGTGGAGGAGAATAGCCTTTGGGATGGTTTAAGTGAGGGAGAGAGTGCGAGTGAGGGAGAGGGTGGGAGTGAGGGAGAGAGTGTGAGCGAGTGGGGGGATCCCCTGTGGCAGGACACTGAGGGAGTTTGGGAGAAGGGGGGTGAAGAACAAGCAAGTCGGCAACGACACAAAAGGGGAGGAGACGGAGGAGAAGGGGGGAAGGTAGTGGGAGAGGTAAGGGGATGCGGAGGGGAAGTGGAAGGGATAGGGGTGGGCCAGGATGGGGGTGGAGTGAGGTTGAGGGGGGGGAGGGGACTGGCAACAATGGGTGCGCTTTGTGATGATCGGAATGGGTCGGCAGGCCATGATTCTGCCCCTGCTGCTGCTTCTGGCACTAATGTTGCCTCTGCTGCTGCTGCTGCTTCTGCCAATGATGCTGCCACTTGTGCTGCTGGCCTGACTGCTGGTCTTGTCTCTCCTTACTGCCAAGTTCCCCCTCTTGTGCCGTCCTCTCTTGTATCTCCCATGCTTCATTCACCCTCCCTAGTATCTCCACACCTACTTTCACCCCCTCTAGCATCACCGAACCTAGCGCCACCCTGTCTAGCATCACCAAACCTAGCGCCACCCCGTCTAGCTTCACCGAACCTAGCGCCACCCCGTCTAGCTTCACCGAACCTAGCGCCACCCCGTCTAGCTTCACCGAACCTAGCGTCACCCCGTCTAGCTTCACCGAACCTAGCGTCACCCCGTCTAGCTTCACCGAACCTAGCGTCACCCCGTCTAGCTTCACCGAACCTTGCGTTACCCCGTCTAGCTTCACCGAACCTAGCGTCGCCCCCTTTAGCATCACCGAACCTAGCGTCACCCTCTCAAGAACCACTGTTTCCTTCAATCCTGTCCCCTGCTTCTGACTCTTCCTCACCACTCCTGCCCCCAGCATCAGCATCAGCAGCAGCAGCAGCAGCAGGGACAAAGATAGGGGCAACAGCAGGGTCAGGGGCAGCAGGCTTCAAGGCAGGAAGCAATGCCGGAGCTATGACCCCTTCTGAAGCATCTCCTGCTTCCCTCTCATCGCCATCCTCCAACGCTCTGCCGCCCACCCACCACGTGCGGGCGGCAAGCTGGGGCGGCTTTTTGGACATGGCGGGCGGCAGTCTAGTGAAGGGGTGGGAGAGCCCGCAGTTTGGGGAGAATCTTTCCCCCGTGGGGGAAAGGGAGGCCTCTAGGGGGAGCCCTGCGCCCATGAGGGGGGGAGGGGGGGAAGGGGAGTGGGGGAGCAGGCTAGGGGGGGGTAAGGCCGATGGGATTTGGGCAGCTAAGGGCCGGGATGGGGACACGAGCGAGTGTGGGAGCAGGGGAGGGGGTGGGGGTGGGGGTGGGGGTGGGGTTGGGGTGGGGGGTGGGGGGACGGGTGGGGGTGTGGGGGATACGAGTGGGAACAGGGGGAGTGTGAGTGGGAACAGGGGGGTTGTGAGTGGGAACAGGGGGAGTGTGAGTCTACGGAGGGAGGCAGGGGGAAAGCGATTCAGTGTCGACATTGTGAGGCGTGCCATTATGGACGATAGGCCGATCAGAAGCAACAGCGGGGGCCGGACAAGAAGCAAGGGGGCGGCACAGGCTAGCCGACAAAACCCCTGGAGTCAACCGAGTCAACACAGTCAACTGAGCCCGCGCATTCCATCACCAGTAGCGCCAGGAACAGCAGCAGTGACGGTGGCAGCTGGAGCAGGCACTCCCTCCGCCGTGGCGGTGCGCAGGGCGAGCAGCAGCGCTGCGCAGCAGCTGACGGAGGCTTTAAGCGGGCGGCGCGTGCTGGTGGTGGACGACAACATGGTCAACCGCAAGGTAACCAGCCTCCTGTTCCAGTAAAGTCAAAAGGCTGTGCCTCGAAAGGTGGTGCCCCAAAAGGTAGTGCCTCAAAACCTGGCGCGTGCTGGTGGTTGATGACAACACGGTCAACCGCAAGGTGATTGAGCGCATCCTGCGTCATTCCATGCAAGGCGATTCCCTAGGTGCCTTCTGGGGAAGTCTTTGAGGCGCCTCAAAGGGCGGCGCGTGCTGGTGCGTATTTGTGCTCCTCAACCCTCCCTCCCGCCCTCCCTCCCTCCCTCCCTCCCTCCCTCCCTCCCTCCCTCCCTCCCTCCCTCCCTCCCTCCCTCCCTCCCTCCCTCCCTCCCTCCCTCCTCCCTCCCGCCCTCCCTCCCTCCCTCCCTCCCTCCCTCCCTCCCTCCCTCCCTCCCTCCCTCCCTCCCTCCCTCCCTCCCTCCCTCCCTCCCTCCCTCCCTCCCTCCCCTCCCTCCCTCCCTCCCTCCCTCCCGCCCCGCCCGCCCTCCCTCCCTCCCTCCCTCCCTCCCTCCCTCCCTCCCTCCCTCCCTCCCTCCCTCCCTCCCTCCCTCCCTCCCTCCCTCCCTCCCTCCCTCCCTCCCTCCCTCCCTCCCCTCCCTCCCTCCCGCCCGCCCGCCCGCCCTCCCTCCCTCCCTCCCTCCCTCCCTCCCTCCCTCCCTCCCTCCCTCCCTCCCTCCCTCCCTCCCTCCCTCCCTCCCTCCCTCCCTCCCTCCCTCCCTCCCTCCCTCCCTCCCTCCCTCCCTCCCTCCCTCCCTCCCTCCCTCCCTCCCTCCCTCCCTTTCCCCCCCCCCCTTCCCTCCCCACCAGGTGATAAGCCGCATGCTGCAGCGGTACGGGGTGCAAGTGGAGGAGGTGGATGGGGGGGGCAAGGCAGTGAAGCGGGTGCAGGAGATGCGCGACGGTGCTGCCTTGCCACTTGACTGCGTCTTCATGGACATTCAGGTGTGCTCTTTCTCACCACCCCGGCATGCTGATGTCATTGCACACTTGCGTGTACATAAATATCATATGTATATATGTGTGTGGATATACATATATATGTGTGTGTGTGTGTGTGTGTGTGTGTGTATTTATATATACAGCCTGTTAAGACTGGTATGTATGTGTTGTTGACTGTATCTAAAAAAAGTTATATTTGTTTTCTTATGTTATTATGTATGAGGCAAACCTAATGACGTAATGATGCGACATTCTTTGGAGTACATAGCATTATAGCAGCGCAATATAGCATCGTTTGTTAGCAAGTCCTCAATTCTTATCCCTCTCACTTCCTCTTCCTCTTCGCAATCTCTCCATGCGTTTTCCACTGTCAGATGCCGGGAATGGACGGCTACGAAGCAGTCTCCCACATCCGCAGCATGGAGCAGGAAACTCCCCCAACCACGGCAGCATCTCCATCCTCTTCAACCCCACCTGCATCTCCATCACCCCCCCAATCAAAAGCACCAGTGAAAAGCTCTACAACCCCACCTGCAACCACATCACCCTCCGCATTAAAAGCACTCTTACCAAAAAGCCTATCAGACACCAAAATCCCACCAGACACCAGGAACCCGTCAGCGTCAGGCTCCCCTCGAAGCTCATCAGCAGAGGCGGCAGCAGAAGCACCAGTGGCAGGTGCAGCGAGGGCAGAGAAGGGGCGGCTGCTGGTGATAGCGCTGACTGCAGATGTGGGTTCGGGCACACGGGAGCGGTGTGCCAAGGCTGGGATGGATGGATACATGACGAAACCCATAGAGGAGCAGCAGCTGTCGCGTGTGGTGCTCCCATTCTTTGCTGCGCTGGCGGGTAACTTTTGAGTCGACTCAAGAGACCGATTGAGGGGCAGCACATGGGAGCAGGTACGCGGGAGCGGTGTGCGGCGAAGGCTGGAATTGATGGGTACATGACGAAACCCATTGATGAGCAGCAGCTGTTGCAAGTGGTGCTCCCATTCTTTGCTGCACCGGCGGGAAATGTTTGAGTCGACTCAAAAGTCACCTTGCTATGTCGGTGCGGGTACCAAGAAGGTGGGGATGGCCGGTTACTTGACAAATCCCATTGAGGGGCAGCAGCTGTTGCGAGTGGTGCTGCCGTCTTTCGCTGCGCCGGCGGGTACCGTATACTCCTGGACAAAACACCCCCCCATAATTGTACACCCCCGGGTAGCTTGTGCGGGGTGGGTGTTATGATAGACCTCGTTTCTACTATACCCCCCTTTTTGGCTGATTTTCTATAACACCCCTCTTACGGATTCATTATTATAGTCGTTAACGAGTAGCTGCAATACGGAAGAATATCGTGTGAATTTCTCCCTCGATGAAATTTCGCGGTACATTCAAAGGCAATCTTCTTAAACTAGGCTAGGAGAGAAGTATCGAAAGTGTGTGTGTTTCGAGTAGTGAGAGGCAAGGGATACAAGTGTCGACCTTAAGTGTTGTACCCTTTAGAGGGCAACTCACTGTAGCCTAGACTAACAATATAAAGAATATATAACTGTTACGGGTGCAATGAATCGAGGTAGCGAGAATTGCACTAAGGTGTCAAACGAGTACAAAATGTGAGCGAAGGCATGAGCGAACATTTATACGCGAAACATGCAAAACGGTAACGCGGTGCGTGCGAGCTTGCTAGTGCTACGCTGGAGCGAGGCTCGGGCTAGTCCCGAAGCGTAGGCCGATACGGCCATGCCAGCAGTGCGAGGTTTGGCAAAACAGTGCGCGCGAAGTCGGCGAAGTTCCGTTAGCAGTAACGGGCGAACAATCGGCTGTTGCTGTACGCGATGTAGTCGGCTCCGTAAGGAATGCCGAGAAAATTCCTTACACTACCCCCCCCCTTAAGAAGCCCCCTCCGCTACGCGAGTGCGTGTATATCGCGGAATCCCCGGCTCCTCAGGTACACTTGCAGGGCAGGGTGATTTTCGATGTTGCTCAGGGGCACCCAGCTATCTTCAGTTGGCGTGCGGTCTTTCCAGCGAACGAGGAATTCAATCCTCCTGATTCCCGTGGGGTGGCGGATCCGATGGCTCAGATTTTTTTCGGGCTCGATGATCGGCTGTGATGCAGGGCGAGTCATTGATTGTGGCCGGTGACGCGGCAGTTGACTTGTGGTCGGGATGTATGGGCGAAGTAGGCTGACGTGGAACGAAGGGCTGATGTACCAGTCGGTTGGCAACAGTAGGTGCGCGGTGACGGGCGTGATCATGTGACTGATTTGGAATGGTCCACAGTAGCGCGGTCGTAATTTTGGTACGTCGGGCAGTCGCAGATTTTGCGTGTCAAGCAGTACGTAATCTCCAGATTGGTACGTGACAGGACGGCGGTGGCGATCGGCGTTGCGCTTAGCGATGACGTTGGCCTTTTTTATTGCTTCGGCGGCTCTGGTGCGGGCAGCTTGCAGGATTTCGGCGAATTGTTGTGCACGTGGCGTTGGGTTGTCCGGACTCGGCGTCATGGGCACTGTGGGGTTTTGCCCATAGTTCAGGTAGAACGGGGACTGCTGCGTCGTGGCTGATGTGGCGTTGTTGTACGCGAACTCGATCAGCGGCAGCTGCTGCTCCCAGGTCGTGGGGTCGTCGCACGTGGCACGAATCAACTGCTCCATCGTCTGATTCGTCCGCTCCGTTTGGCCGTCGGTCTCGGGGTGGTACGACGAACTGAACTGTAGCCTGGTCCCGAACTGCTCCCAGAGGTTCTTCCAGAAGTTGCTGGTAAACTTCGTGTCCCTGTCGCTGATAATTGCTGCTGGTATCCCGTGCAGGCGAACAACGGCTGCGATGAACAGGCGAGCGGTCTCCTCGGCTGAGATCGACTTCTTGCACGCAGCGAAGTGTGCCATCTTCGTCAGCCTATCCACGACGACCATCACCGCGTCGTTACCCCCAGGGTTCGAAGGTAACCCTGTGACGAAGTCCATGGTTACTTGCTGCCAGGCGCGTTCGGGCGGTGGGATCGGCTGCAATTGACCCGCCTTCCGCTTCCTTGAACTCTTCATCACCTGACACGTCGGGCACGAGCCCACGTGCTGCTGTACGTCGGTCAACAGCTCCGGCCAGTAATAATACCGCTGCAGTTGCTGTCGCGTTTTTTCTACCCCGAAATGTCCCAAGGTAATCCCGTCGTGTGCCTCCTGCAGTAGCAGCTCCCTCAGTAGCGAGTACGCGGGTACCCAAATGCGGTTGGTGCCTGTTTTTACGTAATAAACTCCTTTTGCTTCTGCCAGTTGCTGTGAATTTCCGGTCGTGAAGAATGGGTCGGTGCGGTATCCGTGGGTGAATAGGCCAGTTAAAAGCGGGTTGGTCTGGGCGAGTAGGATGGCGTGGAGTTGGGCGGTGGGGCGGGTGAGAGCGTCGGCGATGTTGGATGCGCCTTTTTTGTACGTAACGGTGTAGTGAAAATTGGACTCGAGATAGTCCAACCAGCGAATCTGTCGTGGGTTGAGGTTCGGTTGGGCGCGAAGGTACTGTAGCGAGCGGTGGTCTGTCCGTACTGTCACGTCGGCGCCAGTCAGGTAACATCGCCAAACTTTGAACGCGTGCACGATCGCTAGCATCTCGCGGTCGTGTATCGGGTAGTTACGTTCGGGCGGGTGTAGTTTGCGGGACTCGTACGCGATTGGCTGGAGGCCGTTCCCGAAGTCCTGCAACAGTACTGCTCCCACAGCGATGTCACTTGCGTCGGTGACGAGCTCGAACGGACGGTGGGGATCTGCAATGTGAAGGACGGGCGGGGAGCACAAAATATTTTTGAGGGCCGAGAAGGCAGCTTGCTCTTTCTCCCCCCACGTGTACTCAACCCCCTTCCTCAGCAGGTCGGTCAACGGGGCAGTCAACTTCGCCATGTCGGGGACGAACCGGCGCACGTAGTTGACGAACCCCAGGAAACTCTGCAACTCGGTCAAGTTGGTCGGCGCGTGCCTAGCCTGAATCGTCGCAATTTTCTTCGGGTCTATTTCCACTCCTGCAGCTGAAATAACGTGTCCCAAAAACTCCAGGCGGTCCTGTAAAAACTCACACTTAGATGCTTTGGTCAGTAGGCGGTTCTCACTCAGGATTTTAAAAACTGCTTCGATGTCCTGTAAGTGCTGTGCTCTGTCAGGGCTGTAAATCAGTATGTCGTCCAGATAAACGATGACGCACTTATCTAAAAGCGGGCGGAATGCTTCGTTCATGGTCATTTGGAAAGTGGCGGGGGCGTTGGTCAGTCCGAATGGCATGACGGTGTATTCGAAGGATCCGTAGCGTGTTCGGAATGCGGTTTTAGGGCAGTCGGGTGGGTTGACGCGGATTTGGTGGTAGCCTCCTCGGAGGTCGATTTTCGAGAAAACCCGGGCTGTGCGCAGTTGGTCGATCAGTTCGTCGGCTCGTGGGATGGGGTAACGGGATTTGATGGTAACCCTGTTCAGTGCCCTGTAGTCGATACACATGCGAAACCCCCCGTCCTTTTTCGGTGTGAACAGTATGGGTGCGGCGAAGGGCGACGAACTAGGGCGAATGAATTCCTTTTCGAGCAGGTAATCGAGCTGCTTCCTCAGTTCGTCTAGTTCGGGTTGGGTCAGTCTGAACTGTCGCTGTACTGTTGGCTGTGCCCCCGGTTCCAGTTCTATCCTGTGATCGTGCGGTCGCTGAGGTGGCAGTCCCGTCGGCAGGTCGTCCGGGAAAATGTCACTGTACTGTTTTAACAGTGCCGCCAGGTCACTCGGTACGTCGGTCAGCAGTTTCTGTAAATCCCCTCCCTTGTCTGCTGCCTCGGCTTCCCGAATGTCAACCGCGTACACATCAGCTCCGGCCGCTACAGCGCATTTCATCGTGATCGCATTGACACGCACCGACGAAGACTCAGGCGAGTCCCAGCGAGGTAAGGCGATGTTGTTACCGTTTACTCGCACGGTGCAGTCACCCGTCGTCCAGTCAATTCGCGGATTGTGTCGTCGCAGCCAATCACGCCCGAGTAAAATGTCGGTTCCGTCGAGGGTCGTTGTGAGCATTTCCTGACTAAACGTGAAGTTACCCCCGCATCGAATCCGAACTCGGTTTACGCGTTCCCGTATTGCCAGCGGCGTGCCGTCTACCAGTCGTGCGTCGATCTCAGGTAAGCATCGGTCCAGTGGCAGTCGCAGTTTTCGTGCTGTAGCAGTGTTAATGAGGCTGTGGCTGGCTCCCCCGTCTACGAAGATTTTAACTAAGTCCGTCCCAATTTTCCCACTGAGCAGTATAGGGCTATCTACCGTGGTACCCTCCTTATTCGGCCGGGTGTGGTCGATTGCGTGAACCGGCACAATCACTCGGTGAGGGTCGGTTGGGTCGGGCGAGCGGCGTGACCTGTCAGTAGAGGGCCCGTCTGCTACTGACTTCCAGCGTTTCCCTGCTGCTTGGTCTGTGTCTGCTGCTCAGCTTCCCCCTTTCCCTTAGCGTTTTCCGGGCATTCGCTCTTGCGATGTCCCGGCCGATTGCACGCAAAGCAGCGCCCTTTGAACGGTGCGGCAGCGGCATTTGCGGCGACGGCGCGTATCGTGGCGCTTTCGTTCGTCCCACGAGGCCGATGTCCCCAGTTGTTGTTTCCGTAGGACCCCGGTCTCGGTCGGCGAAAGAAGTCGAGCTTCTCCGCCATAGCGAGAATTTCCTGAAACTCAGTGACGCCGCGAAGCTGGATTTCCTGAGCGATGTCCTGCTTCAGGCCGCCGATGTAGCGGTCGATGCGTTCGCTCTCATGCATGTAGCCCACCTGCTCGCATAGCGCCAGAAATCCGCTCGTGTAATCCTGGACGGAACCGAGTTGGCGCCAAGTGCGGAGCTTCTGTCGCGCCGAGATCGAGGCCGCGA